CCTCCTACCTTCAGCCTGTTATCCACACAACTGTTCCCTATCTGTCCGATAACTCGCTCCATCCCCTCCGCCAAACTTTCTTAACAATTGGTTTTTGAAACTATCGTTAATCGAAAATTCCAGCAACTATGGCTGGCTCGCGGAGCCTATTCTTACGAAAAATTCGAAATGACTATCGGATCACGGATGATCCGATCGTTGATTTAACTCTTGCTGCACGGACGTGAGTATTTCTCGACTGAAGCAGTTGGTATTTTTTCGATAAGTACGTTTACACGTAGCAAGGATTAAAGCGTAAATGTTAATGGCACGTGTTTCGTCATACTGGACTTGCAAAATATAATGCACACTCGTATCATGTATATTTTGATCAATCAATGTAAAATATCATTCGAAGAAAATAATTATTAAATCTTCAGAATAGATGTTAATGAAACGAGTCATGCACACTCGTATCATGTATATCTTGATCAAAATAATATAAAACGTTTAATTTTTAAAAATTAGTTACTAAATTTTGAGGATGGATGTTGGCACGTATCTCGTTTTGCTAAACTCACAAAGTAAAATGAATTGTATAATAAATAACACGTCATCAACTGTTCGTATTTCAAAATCTAATACTCTCTTTCTGTGAAAAAAAAGTGATGATATGACGTAAAATGGTGACTACGTTACTCTGATCAAAATTTGATTTATTTTGCTTGGACAACGAGCAAATCTCGAGCTTTCCTCGTCTGTGTTGGGTCTGTTCATTTGTATTGAATTGCCTAACGAAATTATCTATTTGCGGTGTCGTTGGAAACGTGCTTGATTAATACTTCATCTTCGAGGAAACTACCTTGGGGAGGGAACTCGTGACCACTGGTGGTTGCCACAAAGTAACAGCATCCTCTTTAGAAGGTTTTGATTATGGCTAAAGGTTCAGTCACGAGATTCTAGAAGTTTCATTTCAATGATAAATCTCCATCTTTTAGGTATTTCTACTGTGACACTGCTGTGTACATCAGAAAATAAACGAAGAACAAGATGGAAATTAAAGACAGATATAAAAAGTAAAAATTTAAATCAGTCTTCGGTGTAAAGATCAAGATAATATCTAGAAAGTAAAAGAACATGTTTTCTATTTTTGAAAATCTACCAAGTCATTCTGTCCTCGAATTATTTTCTATTGAACTATTTCTCCTTGATTCTTGTCAAAAACGATATCATATTATCATCCTACGATTCTCGAATCTTTTAATTATCACCTAACCTACCGATTACACATTAACATTATATTATATATTAACATTCAATTCCATCAATTTCAAACTAAGC